AAAACATAAAACCTACTTGTGGCACAAGTGGAACAAATGAGTTACGAAATACCCATGGGAGTTCAAACATTCTGACTTCCCATACGTGTTATGTACCACGGGGGATAATATTTGTACAAAAATACAACTAAATAAAACACTTCAGGAACATTGCGTAAAAATACCAAAATGACTAAAAGTTATCATAAAACCTACTTGTGGCACCACAGGAACAAATGAAGTGTGAATTAGACACAGACATAGACAATACTTATTACCTTATACTTAAATGGAATTTGTTTTGGATCCGTTTTGATTACCCATGGGAGTTCAAACATACTGCCCACAGAAAGCTGTCAGTGCCAGATGTGACTGACAGTATGTGAGTAGATACATAATGGTATTAGTACGTATCTTTTAGGGGTGGGTATTGCATAGAATTTTAATATTGCGATATATTGCGATGCAAAAGCATGTACTGTGATATGTATTGCAATATATTGCGTGAAGTATTTTTACACAAAAAACTACTTATAATCCAGGTAATGCTTGATTTATAGAACAAATACACAGCAAAATCACTATGCTTGATTAAGCTTTAAAAATAAAAATGTGAACAATATTTGGCACAAATGAAAAAAGGAAATATCCGAAGATTTCCGAGTGTTACGAAGTTTTCCGAATGCAAGTCAAAATACCGGTTTTCGATCAGCGTATCGCAATACGTATCGTTTTCATGTCTGAACCGGTAAATATCGGTAAACCGGTTATATTGCGCAGCCGTAGTATCTTTGCCCTCAACAATGCAGCAGAGTCTGAGATAATTTGTCATTCCACACACCGGTTCCTAATGTGCAACCCTTCCATATTTAAGCTGTTTCCAATGCTGACCGACATTTTATAATAGTGATAATAATGATAATAATAATAGTGCATAGTTCTAATGCCCACATATCCACACTTGTAAGAATGCTCTTGGTGCTACATTCTAGAATGACAATGTGTGATACTCGATTCTGATTGGCTGAGAGCTCATCAAAACCGTGCTTAAATGATAGTTTAAGGACCGCTAATTAAAGTGACCGATTCACCGCGCATGAATACAATGAACTCGTTGACCCTATTGTTTGTAAACAAACATGTTGGACATCGGCAATTTCTATCTCGGCAGCATCTTTGGTGAAAGCGAATGGTTTGAAGAAGAATTTCTTGACCCTAATCCCAGTGAAGAAACTACGAAGCTGGAAAATCCGTCAGCAGCGCAAAAGCGTCAGTATATAATGCATTCGGTTCTTAAATGACATTTAGCGGTCTTAAATCAACGATAAAGGACCGCAAAATTGAAAACAGAGTAGCTTTATCTTCTAATTAAAATACATACTTAATATATACAGAATTAACAAAAGCTACAATGGAATAGCTGCATAAGACACACAAACTTAAGAGTGAGTGAGTTTAGTCTTACGCCACACTCAGCAATATTCCAGCTATATGGCGGCGGTCAGTAAATAATCGAGTCTGGACCAGACAATCCAGTGATCAACAGCATGAGCATCGATCTGAGTAATTGGAAACCGATGACATGTGTCAACCAAGTCAGCGAGCCTGACCACCCGATCCCGTTAGTCGCTTATTACGACAAGCATAGTCGCCTTTTGTGGCAAGCATGGGTTGCTGAAGACCTATTCTACCCCCAAAAAATTAAGAAAGGCTGTTGATGATAATATTGAACAGAGAGGCAAGTTTTGAGGTTTGATTTAACGCCTGTTCTTAAGTCTCTTCACTGGCTACCAATCAGAGCCAGAATTGAATTCAAGGTCCTGAGTCTTGCCTACCAGTGTTACCATCTTACGGCTCCAGAGTACCTTGTTGAGCTAGTCACCAAGCACAATCCTTCCAGAATGTTAAGATCGGCAGATAGACACCTTCTCACCATTCCCAGACAGAAGCTCCGGGCATTCGGATTTCGGTCTTTCAGCTATGGTGCACCACAGTTGTGGAATCAACTCCCTACTGAACTCAAAATGTCTCCCTCCATTGACAGGGTTCCCACAGGCATGGCAGGCCAAAATTCCCTGACTTTTCCCTGACAAGCATAGATTTTTCCCTGACCATTTAAGTGTAAAAACTGGCCTTCTTCCTCCCTTTCAGTCAGTCCTAACCACCCTGTTAAGATATTTCCTTCACACATATCATAAATACACACAATATTTGTTAATTTATTACATTAACCAAAACATTGATATTTGTGATGAAGAAAATTTTCCTTGACTCTCCTGCCACAATGTTACATAATACTATTAGAAACATTTGACAGTGACCATCAAATATATATTCTCAGGTGAAGTCAGTAATATATCATCTGAAAACTTTGTACTTTATATTACAGGCTTTTGACAAAGAGCATAAATGTGTAACTAATGATTTAATTGAATTGTTTCATTCAAAGTCAGGAACACATTTCTTTATTATCACAAAATGTTGTAATTATAAAAGGCGTATTTGGAAAGAATAAACATGCAAGATATAACTTTACATTCAGTACACCATGACAACTAGATTATCATAACATCATTAAACCACCTTCAATTCTGTGAATAAACAGCAAATGTCAGAACATAGGCCATATTATAAAACCTATGCTGTACTTTAACAATGAAACATATGGGTATTTTTGGCCAATATGGGCTTTCACAATTTGCAAGAAACCACCATAGCCATCATACTATCTAATTTTGGAACAGTATACAAATGAATGGAAAATTATCTGTTAACATAGTTATCTTTAGAAGAGGTGGATCTGTTGCCTATAAAGAAAAATGTTTTTGAATGGCAAACAATTATTTATTGTTAATCACTATGCCTATCTCGGATTAGTGTTTTTCCATACTAAACAAGAGTCATCAGAAGATGACAAATCCCCCAGCCCATACAAATATGAAAGAGCAAATCATCTGACAGTTACTTAAAGTTGAACTTCTTTTTTTTAGACAAATTCCAATATGTTTCAATGGAAACCAAGAAAAATAGATATGACAAAAATCTGTAATTAGCAAAAGGCACCACTTTAGGTTCTGTTTGAAATATCTGCAAAGTTTTGTTAAAAACATTGAACCGTTTTCGAGTTATGGTCCGGAAACAAAATGATTACGGATGGACGGACAGACAGACGGGCAAGGCATCGACTATATCTCCCCGCATTCAAGCTAAGAAGGCTCTTATCAAATTTATGTCAGTTTCCCAGAATTTTGGGATTTTAACCCAGAAAATATGTTTCATCTTGTTTGATTCACAAATCCAACCAATTGTGCTTCATAGAAGAATATGTCTGTTATGTCACCCGGCTGCAGAAGATAAAATTCACATTATGCTGATTTAAGAAAACAATACATGCCAAATAATTATCTGTAAAAATATCGTTCAAGTGACTTTGTTTCCATTCTATCCTCCAGAAATGAAAATGTAATATGTAATCTTGGGCTTTATGTAAAACATGCTGTTATGCTTAAAAGCAATCTCTTATCTGAACTGTAATTTATTTCATGAAATGTCTGTAACATGTGCTGCTACTTTGACTTTGACTACTACCATACCCGATTAGCGACCTTCTGAGTCTTATTTTTCCCTGACCAAAACCCTAAATTTCCCTGACTTAAACCCCAAATTCCCTGACTATTCCCTGACTTTTGAAAACATATAAAAATTCCCTGACTTTTCCCTGACTTTCAGAGAAATGCCAAATTTCCCTGACTTTTCCCTGACCTGTGGGAGCCCTGATTGACTCATTTAAAAGTTCCCTGAAAACCCATCTTTTCAGAAAATATTACAATCTATAACTTAACTTTCCAAAAATTTCAGCCTCGTTCTAGCATAACCTTTGCTTAGTAAATATTTGTAAATATGTAGCGCTTTGAGCATGCCTTATGTGTGGAATTCAGCCGATTATAAATATACATATTATTATTATTTTAAAGAGTCCAGAGATTCAGAGAGCTTCAGGTCAAGGGGGAGAGAGTATAGCCTGACTATCCAGGGTTGTTGACACTGTGAGATATGATCCATGCCATGGGGGTGTAGACACATCCAACCTAGTTACTGTCAACTCCAGGTTAGTGGAGTTACATATCGCCAGCTGTCAACTCCAGGTTAGTGGAGTTACATATCGCCAGCATAGTTGTCCACGACTTTGTACAATGTTTGTTTGTTATTAACGCCGCTCTCAGCTATATTCCAGCTATATGATGTCGGTCTGTAAATAATCAAGTCTGGACCAGACAATCCAGTGATTGGCCTCAAGACATTTATGCAATTGGGATAGGATGACACATGTCAACCAAGTCAGCAAAGCTGACCACCCGATCCCATAGTGTTACGATAAGCACGGGTTGTTGAAGACTAATGCTAACCAGGTATAGCAGGCCATTTCTTTCCCGGTCTAAACTTTCCCCGGGGAGAATCTGGCCCAGGCCAAACTTTCCCGGAAGAAATTTTGTCCTAGGATATTCTTACCCTGGGGAAAGTTTGGCCAGGGGGAAGTTTTGTCCTAGGATATTCTTACCCCAGGTAAAGTTTGGCCAGGGTGAAAGTATGGCCTCTTAGGGACCATTCATAATTTATGGCTAGGGGGGATGGTGATGATTTTTATGGAGAAGAATGTACAATGTGAATGACCCCCCCCTAAAAAGTTCTGTACAAAATAAGTGACCCCTCCCACCCTTGTATGTCATGTACAAAACCAATTTTTTCTCTCACACACAGGTGTTTTCAATGAATTGTTTGCTGGACATGACTAAAACAATGATTGGGACATATCCAGTCTCGAACTTATATTAAAGTAAAACGTTTCCGCATCTCATAGTTTCACTCAATCATTGGTACATTCGGCTGTATTCTCCCATTGGAGCTGAGAATGGAAATTGAAGACCAACTGATCTATCAACCTGGATCAAAATATTATAGAACATTCACTTTTAGTGTATTTTAAGCATTATAACAGATTCCTGTTGTTTGTCTCCTTCCAGACGTAGCTGACATGAGACAGTGATATCGGGCAGTGATATCAGACAGTGATATCGGGCAGTGAATGTCGTCTCACAGAGCACAAAGAGACAAGAGTAAGTACTGCCATCATATAAACGCAACATATTTGACCTTGACCTTCATAAAAAGGTCACTGAGAATCTTCTCAAAATAAGACCCATCCTAGAGATCACATGCATGAAGTTGTGTCAAATCCTAATCATTAATGCTCAAGATATTGTGCTTCCTCAAGCTTTACGTGCTAGCACGCCTTCTCCCCATTCAGTCGCCTTCAGCTCCAGTGTCATCTGTCACAGAAAAAATGTCTCCTGCAAGCTTTGATAACAAAACTTAACATAGTTTCCATACCAAACTGACAATACTTTCTGAAAAAAGCTTTCTTACAGGTCATGTCAAAGTGACCTTGACATTTGACTCTGGCACGACATGACAGGGATTGAGTTAAGGGTTTACTTAGGCTAATGCTTAGTCTCTGAATATATATAATTTTGATAGCAACAAACAAGCCCATTTATATTGAAAAGGAGCCCTAGAAAGACCTGAGGAAATCTCGACTTGTTTCATTTAGGGCTTTAGCACTGCAGGGAGGGCCAGGCAGTAGGGAAATTAATGTGGTTCAGGGACTGTGAGACAGACTACATTGCAGGGAGGGCTAGGTAGTAGGGGAAATAATGTGGTTCAGGGACTGTGAGACAGACTACATTGTAGGGAGGGCTAGGCAGTAGGGAAAATAATGTCGTTCAGGGACTGTGAGACAGACTTCATTGTAGGGAGGGCTAGGCAGTAGGGGAAATAATGTGGTTCAGGGACTGTGAGACAGACTACATTGCAGGGAGGGCTAGGCAGGTGGGAAAATAATGTGGTTCAGGGACTGTGAGACAGACTACACTGCAGGGAGGGCTAGGCAGTAGGGAAAATAATGTGGTTCAGGGACTGTGAGACCGACTACACTGCAGGGAGGGCTAGGCAGTAGGGAAAATAATGTGGTTCAGGGACTGTGAGACAGACTACACTGCAGGGAGGGCTAGGCAGTAGGGAAAATAATGTGGTTCAGGGACTGTGAGACAGACTACATTGCAGGGAGGGCTAGGCAGTAGGGAAAATAATGTGGTTCAGGGACTGAGACAGACTAGGGTTTACTATGAGGCAGCACTTAACAAATCTGTGACACCACTTCTGATCCCATACTCTGATTATAAAGCTGTCATCAGATTAGGGCTTCCACGGGTACTCGAGTACTCGAGGACGAGTGGGGTTTAGCTGGACTCGAGTCCATTTTCAAGGACTCGAGGACTCGAAAAGGGGAGATAACTCAAATTATTGACGTTGACAGACTGTCTGCCATGTGCTGAGCATGAGCGGCCCTTAACGTCTAATATTAAGATTAGATATAACGTTATTATCCCGGAGGAAATTCTTATACATCCAAACTGTCTCAATATGAATATATATACAATTCACAAAAATATACACAATAATTACATGCACAAAACGAATGCTATTTACACAATAAAACTGACATGATATAATTCAATTAACCACATAGGTAAAGAGGCTGAATAATTCTAGTTGTAATCACGTGATGGTGATTCAAAATATTTGTTGCATTCACGAATACTTGATGGTATGAAAGACTGTCGAACTCTGTTTTGAGGGAAAGTAATCGACAGCAGTGTCCAGAAGGAAGTAGTTCAAAATGGTGAGATCAAATATGTCAACTATCAAATCTAATTTTAGCTGCCTTTGTGACAATCTGGCGCTCATAGATAAAGGGTATATACTTGAAAGACACCCCAGAAATTTTGCAAGCAGTATTAACAATTTTGAAAAGCTTGTTTTAGTTGCAATGAGACAGACCCCCATACCAACATAGAAAATTTGATAAGGTTTGATAAAAAACTGTCATTACGGTTTTGTCAATGCCTTGACGATAATAATGTTCAGGGCCTAGATTTTCGAAGCTCTCTTAGCGCTAAGATAGTCGTAAGTTAATGTTAATGTATGGCACTTACGGCTATCTTATCGCTAAGAGAGCTTTGAAAATCTAGGCCCTGAATCGGAAATTAGGCCAGTAACAGTGGCGTCATCTGCGAATTTCACAGTAAACACGTCATATATTGACAAGTAACAGTCATTGGTATACAAAACGAAGTTTACGGATGAAGGAACACACCTATTTGGTTTTGCAGTAGAGGTTGAGAGAAAAGAAGATTGGTAGCCATTTACACTGACATACTGAGTTCTATGTACCCTGAATTCTTTAACCCATCTGATAATGTTTTTATTAAGACCTATATTAAATAGTTTACTCCTCACAAGGTGTGGCTGTATGGTATTAGTTGTTACAATTCTCTGCAAATGAGAGTAAATATTATACATCGTTTGAAATTTCACTTCTTAAAATGATAAGTTAACTATCTTGATAATTGATAGACATGGAGAAAGATAAAAATATCAAAAATGTATGGGCGTATCTTGATCTGGATAGAGAAAAGAGAAAAATAACCAAATGCCGCCTGTGCGGTATATCACTGCGTTTTGCAGGCAGTACAAGAAGAACGATGAGAGAAACAAGTGTCAGGTAAACATCCAAATATTGATTCTGACCAGTGGGAAATGTAAGTCACATAACGATATAAAGTCGGAATGAAGTAAGTGTTCATTTGTCTGATCGGAACACATGTCATGCAAGTTACGCTATTGTTTGCTTGAAAGGTATGAATTTCGAGTACTCGGGTCCGAGTCGAGTCTCACCCCTCGAGTACTCGAGTCCAAGAAAATGGACTCGTTGAAGCCCTACATAAGATCTTATATCCCTGATCAGTCATCATGCAAAAGAAGTAGGACACTCAAGTAGGTATAACTAATAAGTAAATATGATCAAATTACACAAACCATCGGTTACACCTACTTGGGTTGTCAGTCCAGATTTGAAGAGGTTCCTGACCACACTTGATATACTCATGAATAACCGGGTGAAAGGTGAGGATCCTCTGTTTTGCATCCCTTGTGATGAGAGAATGACAGTCAAGCATGTCCTGCTTTCCTCAATAGATTTTACCATTACAATAATAATAATAATAATAAATGTGAACTTATAATGCGCCTTTTCCATGCACAAGGCCCATGCTCAAAGCGCTAACAAAGTGGATGGGTAGTATACATATATACAATGAGGGACTAGTAGCTAGTATACGTATATACAATGAGGGACTAGTAGCTAGTATACGTATATACAATGAGGGACTAGTAGCTAGTATAAGTATATACAATGAGGGACTAGTAGCTAGTATACGTATATACAATGAGGGACTAGTAGCTAGTATACGTATATACAATGAGGGACTAAAGTACTGTCGGAAATGCTAGAAAAATGCTTTTTGACTTATATTTAAAATTCAGAGGTATTACAGTTACTTAAATAACAAATATCACTTCAAGAAACATCTACCTAATGTAGACCGAGGGAATAAATTTTGAGACATGCTCTAAAATGTGTTTTTACTGATGAAAATACCAGAAAAATAAGGGGTAGTTGGACGTTATTTGAAACAAACATTAACTGCCTGTGTTACGTCATCAGCATGCACGGTATCGACAGGTGAAATTGACACCTGAGCACACGCTCGGGGCGAAGGGTCATCTCAATAGATGTTTTCTGCAAAATGTTGAATATGTGTACGTATAGTATACGTATCAGTTATGTAAGGGATCATTTGTGTATGTGTGTTTGTTTTGAAATAAACACACGAATTACTGTACATTGGAAAGAATCCTATCACTTGTGTTATCTTATCGACTGATTGTAGAAATGTGCAACGTTTTAATAAATGTTTTGCATGTCAACAGTATATTTCATTGAAAAAATATGGATGTAATTCGGTCAGTTTAATCTAGTTGTGAACATTGGCCAAAGATTTAACGAAGTCACTGGTGTAGCTTCTTTAGAATATATATATTTTTCTTCTCATAAAGTTTGTAGACCGCCCGTCTAAGCTCTCTCTTGTCAAAGTTGTCAAGGATGGTTTTACGTCCCGGTTTTGCATTTGAGACGGTCCCTGTCTTGTCTGATTTGTTTACAATATTGTAAACTTGTTGGTAAGACATGCCAACAGCTCTACAAGTTCTGTAATAAACCCTTTCTAAACTAATGAAAGGTTTACCTCTGTCTTTTTTAAGCAGAAAAAAACTATAAACCTTTGCAACAATCGACTGCAAATCGTTGGCCATAGTGGACGCTGTGATAAAGATGTGCATGCATGACGGGAAACTTATTTATCAAGACTTAACATTTATATTAATATTTCTTCAATAAAGAAAACAATACTTTAGTAAAGTAACACAAACATTCAACATTTATTTGTTTAGGATAAACGTTAATTCATATTGCTACACCACCTGTATTATTAGCATAAATGTAAAGACTATTTCAGATTTCTGTTGTTGAACTCTGAAAAAATCTTAAGTTGCTGTTTTGGTACCAAATTCTCTCCTGTAAACTGCCCTTTAAATGCATGGGAATGTTTAATCGATTGAAATAAAAATTAGGTAGACAATAGGCGAGTTGATATATTGACAACATAGTACATTTATCACCTTTATAAAGATATTAAGGCTAAAAAGCATTTTTCTAGCATTTCCGACAGTACTTTAGTAGCTAGTATACGTATATACAATGAGGGACTAGTAGCTAGTATACATATATACAATGAGGGACTAGTAGCTAGTATACGTATATACAATGAGGGACTAGTAGCTAGTATACGTATATACAATGAGGGACTAGTAGCTAGTATACGTATATACAATGAGGGACTAGTAGCTAGTATACGTATATATACAATGAGGGACTAGTAGCTAGTATAAGTATATACAATGAGGGACTAGTAGCTAGTATACGTATATACAATGAGGGACTAGTAGCTAGTCTATATATATACAATGAGGGACTAGTAGCTAGTATACGTATATACAATGAGGGACTAGTAGCTAGTATACGTATATACAATGAGGGACTAGTAGCTAGTCTATATATATACAATGAGGGACTAGTAGCTAGTCATAATGCAGTGAA